ATATCAACCAATGAAACGGTGCCATTTTCGTGTAAGATCAGTGCACAGAACTTATCTTAACACATATTGTATATCAATTACATCATTCACACGGCAATATATTTTATCTTTATATGTATTTGATAATGATTACTAATACTACTGGAACTATGAGTGAAATGTACTGATACCTAATATATTACGTTAATACAGAGAAGGTATCTTGTTATGATAGAAAGGAAACCAAAACAAAATACCTTTAGTTTATATATTATTCTGATTGTCATGGTTGACCTGAAGCGGAAACGTATATACTACTTACGGCTTTATATGTCTCTGTCTGAAGACAGGTAATACAATATTCAATATTAATTCTGATAATTCATATATTTAACAACCGGATCACGCTTTACCTTTTAGATAAGAAGTTTCATAGGTTCTAAATTTTAGTAATCACAGGTTCGTTAGACGAGAGCACCTGTTTAGACTATACACAAAGTCGTATATATTGTAATATAACGTCTCTGGTTAAGAATAACGCTCTATTTTTTTTCTCATTTTATTTTATACAGTTTTGATAACTGACATACGGATGCACATTATCTTTCTGAAATGGTTAAGTTCGCTTTAAATGAATAAAGAAACAAGATATTTCGAAATTTCGTTCACTTTAAACACATAAACGTAACTTAAATGGTATTTTTTCTAATGAAAGCCTTTGTGGAGATCATTGTCATTATCACTCGAAGTTTCAACAACCCGGGAGTTTACATTGCTGTTTTAGGAAGTTAACAAGAGTACCTCGGATACCTAACTCATTAGTGTATTCATGCAAAAAATACATTGTTGAAATGTAAACATACATTGTTGAAATTCATACATTCCGATGACGTCACGTTGTTGACTGACAGGACGGCTGGATTGTGTGTTCATTTATATACGTTTACTTTGATGACATAAATGGACGCGTTTTATGTTAAGAAAAAGGCTATATAAGGATTAACTTTCTATTCAGTTTAGGTTATCGGGTGATAACTACAATGGAACCCGGGTAAATTATTTCTTCTTTATCGGCTTCGCCGATTATTTATCACCCGATAACCTAAACTAAATAGAAAGTTAAACCTTAAATATTATAACATGAAACATGTACTCAGAAGGGATATTCTTACGACAGTACAGGGAAGATAAAGTTCCATTTAATTACAATTATATAAGTTATGATTAAAAAAACCAAATATGAATAAAATACATTTTTGTTAAATACAATAGAAATTAAAAGCTGAGAGGACAGGTGATCGGGAATCTCCTTACTAAGAGGATTATATAAACCACAAAACTATTAACAACATTAAAAACGATTGAAAGGTATATAAAGCAAAATAGGAACGTAAACTGTCTTAACATATATATATATATACAGTGGTTCGTTTATGAACATTTACACAATCGGTTCATCATTTGCACGAGTTTATCAATAAATACTGGACAACTAGTACCTCGGACCGAACGGAGCCGGGGGATATAGTTTACGTAATATAAGTTGTATACGACATCGGGACGTACTTATCGTTCGTCATTAAATATCGTTAATATTGAGAGTTCATATTGTGTCTTTGATTATTATATGAGTGATCAGAGACGTATATACTGGCTTCATGTGTCCCTGGAGTGATGTATCAAAGCACCAGTTCAGCAATACGGTAAAAGTTATGCATTATTCTCAAATGGTCGTTCATTTCGATCCTAACCCTGGCCGTAGTACAAAATAAGCATTATTTCCTTGGTCTTTATTTATTTCATTCGAAGTAAATATAAGTGTACTATCGACCTGTGTTATTATATCGTTTTGATTACGGAATTAGAGCGACCGTCTTTGCATAGCTATACCGACAACACGGCCAGCAAGGCAGGGACTATAGACTGCCTCACCTGTACGGGCTTCGCCGGAGCGCGGCTACATCAAAGGGAATACCGCTGTGCGAGTGAGCGGGACAACGACTTAATTTTCGGGGGCCAACAACCAGTTTTCGGGAACAAAGGCACAATCTTATTGAATTGTTATGTTCCTGAAAATTGGTTGTTGTCCCTGAAAATTGGTTGTTGTTCCTGAAAACTGGTCCATGTCCCGATAACTTGGATATGGTTTTTAAATTTAAATGGTGCTCCGCTAATTTGGAGAGTATTTCCGTAATTTGGGCCATGCAAATATGATTTAGATTGTACATCATTAAGTTAGCCATGCATAGATTATTTAGCTGGTACGTCATTAAGTTGGGTCATGAATTTATGATTTAGACTGTGTTTTGTAAAATTCAATGCTAATTGAAGTTTACTGGTATAATAAGGTAGATTAAGTCGTAGAATTGATTTTTTCGTCCTTAAGTGTTTCTCAGTGTATCCCATCCTAAGATAACAGGATATCTTCTTGCATTGCCATCTTTACAAAGATGATACGTTTATCATATATGTATCGTTCATAAATGGAAATGGAAACATGAAAACGTCAGTTTGTTCCAAGCAACAAGTATTGATACAGACTTAATCGAAAACTCAAAAAATAGTTTTCTTCTGTTTAAAGGCTAACACCAGTATTTCCAACACAAAATCCCCCATGTCCCCCTGTCGCCTGCCCTCGTCCCCCCGTCCCCCCGTCCCCTCCACATCCCTCCCCGTCCCCTGTACATGGAAATGGCGCCAGCTACAAATTTATAGAATATTCAGAAAATGCGTTCTTACATAAATAAGTGTTCGAGCATAAGAAAGTCCTCTGAGTAAACCATTACGTTTTGTTGAAACTATAAAATGTTTTGTCGGTTATTATTTACATCTCGAATACTTCGGTCACAATTGTTTTCGACTGTACTGTTTTGGTTTTACGTAGTTTTAGGAGCTGATCCATCAACGTAAATGTTTGCTGGTTAGAGAACAGATGCCCTGATTGAAAGATTAACTGATATTTTATGAGACAACCTAACGTTATTATGGAAGTCTCAAATCGGAATAAAATTAAATCATCATGCATATTAAAATGTACTAATATTCTACTGTGTGTGGAAATATTTTAACTTTATCATTGCATTTGCAAGCTTCATGTAAAGTAGAACTTTTATTGTTTTTATATTTGCTAGTGTAAATACAACCTACACTGGGTTTATATATTGTTAATGTAAAGAATAATTGTTATTGTTTGTATATTTGTTAGTGTAATTACAAACTACACTGGGTTGGTATATTGTTAATGTAAAGAATAATTGTTATTATTTGTATATTTGTTAGTGTGAATACAAACTACACTGGGTTTATAAATTGTTAATGTAAAGAATAATTGTTATTGTTTGTATATTTGTTAGTGTGAATACAAACTACACTGGGTTTATATATTGTTAGTGTATAGAATAATTGTTATTGTTTGTAAATTTGTTAGTGTAAATGCTACCTACACTGGGTTTATATATTGTTAATGTAAAGAATAATTGTTATTATTTGTATATTTGTTAGTGTGAATACAAACTACACTGGGTTTATAAATTGTTAATGTAAAGAATAATTGTTATTGTTTGTATATTTGTTAGTGTAATTACAAACTACACTGGGTTGGTATATTGTTAATGTAAAGAATACTTGTTATTGTTTGTATATTTGTTAGTGTGAATACAAACTACACTGGGTTTATAAATTGTTAATGTAAAGAATAATTGTTATTGTTTGTATATTTGTTAGTGTGAATACAATCTACCCTGTGTTAATATATTGTGTAGTATAGCTTTTATACATTACGCTTTCGATTGGTATATTGTCACACAAGAATATATATACTGTAACACTTGATAGGTCAACATGTCAATATCATTACTAAACTTAGAACAACTTGTTAAGAATAGCTTTAATTGTAACGTATGTATATGTGTGAAAGTAAAATTGTTTAATGTACAAGCCCTGATCTTTATAAGCTGTTACATGTACTCTCTTTTTAAGATATACATACCAATACCCACATGTCTGGCAAACAATTTATTAATATAAGATGTTTTACTATCATGTCTGTGATAATGTTGAAATTGTAATTTTACTAACTGATATTTTACTAACAAGAGGACCCTGTGGAAGATAGGCTTTGTAGAACAGGTTTTATTCTCAGAAAATATAGTTTATTATTTTTATTATTTTAAAATTATCTTTAGCGTCTGACTGTTGTAATCTGGTAAACTGGTTTCATAAAAGTCACACGAGGCCACTCGAGATTATTATTATTGTTATTATTATAGTACATATTGTTACACAACCGTACATACGGCTGGGTGTGAACGTGACATTGTGTGTAATATGATAATGTTCCTTGTAACGTTTGATTGGTTATTCAGAAAGTATTGTAGACAATCCACTTACAGCTTTTACACACACGTTATCTTAATTCTTAGGTTCGTAACTGCTTTCGTTCTTAAACTTGATAGTGAAAACTACGATGGCCGACAAGAGCCTGACAAAAAGATATGAATTTTCATATCTTTTTGTACCACGGTACACTTTGAAATGGTACACAAATATATACTGTGCAAATTTGTATTTGAAAATTCAAATCTTTGTGTACCATGTAAAAGTGTACCATGGTCAAAAAGATATGGAAAATCATATCTTTTTGTCAGGCTCTTGTCGGCCATTGTAGAAAACAAATCAACATACATGTGGGTTAAACAATGTATGTTTTAAGACTTAGACAGGACAAGGGAGGTGATGTCTAAACAGTCATTACTGGTAATCTGTCTGAAGAGATAACCGGGCAATACAGCTATAAGGGGTAATTATAATTTATGTGCCACACTATTTCGATAGATTTGCCTGCTATTCATAATATTTATATTGCCAGTATTATTGTACGGTTGTACTAGATACGAGATATACAAAGTCGGTCAACCCACAAGTATCACCTCTACATAAGGAAAAGAATACTTAATTGCACTTACAGTGACTAAACACTACCTTAAACGTAATTCGGGAAGATTTTCTAATATATAACTCACCTTGTCGTTTGTGACCAGGTAAATATCCATGGGTTATTCGCCGAACCTTCGATTTGCCGGACAATCCGGAAGTAAATTCCTCATGCGTTATCGGCTATATATGATTCGAGCCTTAACACATACCCGTATACCTGGTGTCTATTTTTAGGTCAATCTTTGTAGTTCTACACCCTGGATTTAACACACATAGCACCATTATACACGCGGTAACGATGAGGTCCGACATCCACTGTAGTTATGTCTGTTAATGTTGAGACGTGTATATATTTAAAGATAAATTGAGTCTAATCTGAAGACAAAGTTTGATCAAATGTTTTTACTGTTGATATGACTGTATACGGCTATCAAACACGCATGTGTAACAGGTGTCTATCAATGGAACACTTTGCATAACACGAAGACTTTTAAAGGAACACATCGTGAAGCTGGAATGAATGTTGGGTATACGTCACGTGTTCACTTAAGGGGTACGTGCATACTGACTCACCCAATTACCTTAAAGTAAATGCTCCTTTTAGAATACTGAAAATTGTTGTTTGAAATTATATTTGAAAGCAAATGGTCGCAATGAAATTGAAAACAAATTTTAATTAGTGTCGTAATATGTTCTTGGTGTTGAGATAAATAGATATTTCCTTATTTTAATAGATGAGAGCATTTTTTCCCAATCATAATCGGTTATTAATTTCTTCTGTCGTTTATATAGTGATAAAATTGAACATACGCGCGATTAAAGCTGAAATTTCGAAAGGATTTGCTTTTGTCTCCCACGCAATATGCAAAACAAAAAACACAGGTTATACAACGTGTGGTCTTTAGGGTTCTGTGAAAAGACGTCATACTAATTTGGCAATGATGTCAAGAATGCATTTATATAAAGTTATATTCAACGATTCATGACTCTCTGATGCTCCGTTCCTCAATCAGGGATGTGAAAGTACTATACAAAATGTAACCAAATTCTATCAGATGTACATGGTAAGTCCATGTAGGTAAATTGAGATCCACTGTAAATTGTCAAAAAAATAGTTATGAATATGAAAAAAGGAATGCATAAACGATTTCCCCCTCTTTGTTATTCGTCATATAGCTACATTATGAAAACGCTTTGGCCTGGTAAAACCTCTGACACAGCTTTAGACAAAAACATCAATAGTAACATCATAGTACAAATATCTATATACAGCTTATTATTTTTCTTTGTAGGAATATATAGAATATTTCATAAACTAAGAATTACTTAATATATAATACAACATGTTCTCCGTCACATTCTTAGATTTGGGAAGAGATACAATACTTTTCATTGAACAATTGTATATTCTGTTTGTAGATTTCAGATTCAGATTTTATTTCCAACACTCAGACACAAGAAAATGTGTAACATGAGGTACATGTACATGAATTCATATATTAAATTTTGACAGGATGGACAGGTGCATGCATGTATACAAGGCAAGATTGTATTGACACTCAGACACATAATATGTGTTACATGAGGAAATAAAGTTGCAGATATGGAAAATGAAGTACAATGGACAGTTCAATTTAGAATCGGTACGGTATAGTAACATGATATGACATACAATGGAAAATACAAAACAAACATAAAAAACAACCATACATATAATTCACAAGTTATTCAACTATTAACAGTTATACATATGCATCATTCACAAAAGAGGAGCCATTTTGGTTAGGAAAATAGATAAACCTGTCAGAACTCGTTGATTGCATAATGATAAAAGACCTTTAAACTTATAAATATTTGGGTTTGTGCAATAATAACGGGGAATATATTTGTTACGTAAGGTGGATATAGTTATATTATTACATTCAAATATATAATGAAATTCATCTCCGACACTTTCCGCGCACAAATTACATAGTCGATTATCTCGGGGTATGTTATACCATCTACCTGTTTCAATTGGAAACTTCAAATTCGAGGTGCGCAGTTTTGTTATTGGTGTTCTGATATGTTCTGGCAGATTTAATAAATATTTTTCTAGACCAAATTCCGTTTTAAATAGAGTGTAGAACTGCCCACGAGATGAGCTAGTAATGTCATCGAACCATTGCTGTACAAAGTGATCGTTAAGCCGTTGTTTTAAAATGCATTTGTAAAATCCATCAGGCATATGTAATTTATTATCAAATATGTAAGAAAATCCCGTTTCATTGAAAATACCTTTTATATAGTTAATCCATTTGAACTGAAGAGTATCATCGTTTTGCATATGTAAAGCTAGTCGTAGTAATATGCTGCTGAGTTTGTTTTCATTACTAATTATTCTATTCCAAAAACCTAACATTCTTAGTTTAACATTTATTTCCAATGGCACACGACCTAGCTCGCCATAAATCATAAAATTAGGCGTTGTGGATCTCACTTTAAGAATTCTTTTACAAAATTTGAGATGAATCTGTTCGATTATTTTCAGGTTTTCGAATCCCCATACATCCGATCCATACAATAGAATCGGTTCCACTAAAGAATCAAATAGTTTTAATTGTAAATCTATAGGAAGAGAAAGGTTCCTGATTTTTTTGTAGATAGCAAATATTGACTTTTGGGCCTGGTTGATCAATCTGCGTCTTGCGTTTACAAAACTGCCATTGTAATTAAATGTTATTCCTAAGTAAGTAAAATTATCTACAATTTCTAAAATTTCATTTTGTAATACAAATACATGTTGTTGTTTACTTTTCCTCTTGCGAAAAACCATGACTTTTGTTTTATTTACATTTATATTAAGCTTCCAAATCTTACAATACTGCTGGAATACATTCAAAGCACTCTGCAGTCCCTCTGGACTTTCTGAAAATAGGACACTGTCATCAGCGTATAGGAGTACAAAAATTTCTACAAAAATATGTAGTTCATTATACAGCTTATCCCGTACATTTTCGAGTGGAACACAACTTAAAGAAGCAAAATAACTTTCAATGTCATTAAGAAATACTGAAAAAAGAAAGGGGGATAAATTTTCCCCTTGTCTAACCCCGATCAAGCAGGGGAAAAAATCTGACGTTTTCGAGTTGAATTGAACACAGGATTTAATATTATTATACATGTTATAGATAACTTTGAAACATTTCCCGTTTATATTGCTGCTATGTAATTTTTGCCACAGACCTGCTCTCCAGACGGTATCAAATGCCTTTTTAAAATCGATAAAGGTACAGTATAGCTTTTTGCCACTTGAAAGATATATAGAAATGAGAATATGCATAATAAAAACGTTGTCTATAGTTGAATGACCTTTTCTGAACCCTGCTTGACTTCGAGATATTAAATCAATTTGTTTTTCATATTCATTAAGACGGGTATTGATGATTGAAGTAAATAGTTTACCAAGACAACTAATTAAAGTGATAGCTCTATAATTATCAGGGTCTTCTGGACTTCCCTTATTTTTGTATATTGGTTTGATAATGCCGACACTCCAACTTTCCGGAATAATTCCCGTGTCTAATATTATATTGAACAATTTACAATAGACTGTGGTCATTTCCGGTGGGGAATTTTTCAGATATTCATTTAAAACGCGGTCCGGGCCGGACGCTTTATTATTTTTTAATGATTTAATAGCTTTTTGTATTTCTGATTCAGTAATTGGTACATTCAATGTATTGTTGACGTCATCATCATTATCAAAACTGTCGTTATCAACCTCGTCATTATTACTGTCCTCTTCGAGTGAATTAAGTTTCTTAAAATAGTCATATAGGTCGTCAATAGGTATGTCTGGTGTAGTATTTTTATTTTGTGAAAATTTATTAAGTGTTTTCCAGAATGCTTTAGGGTCTCGTTTGGAATTCTCTCTTAATTCTTTTGTGCATTTCTCTTGATATTTTTTGTAATTTTTCCTTAGTTGTTTTCTGTATTCTCTCCCTTTTTTATTCATCGTGTGCTTGGTTTCCGTTAACTTGTTAAATTTATATCTAATTTTATATTTATTAAAGGCGTTTCTAGCAAGTTTACAATCGTGGTTAAACCATGGCTTATTTACATTTTTGTACTTATTTTTACGACGGTGCGACACACCTATTGTATTAGTGGCGCTATTTGTTAACACAGTAGATATGTCGGTCACTAGACCATTAACCTGTTCTTTGGTGATAGTATCACTAAGTAAAACATTATTTAGATTTATATTAATACTATGTAAGTTGTTTTTCACTTCTTGTGAAAAATTTGCCGATTTCATGTAATCCCATCTGATATAGTCTCCCTCTGAAAGACTTTCTTTTTCGTTAATATTTTTTTTTCCCGGAAACATACACGAGAAATTTATTAGATTATGCACGTCTGAAAAGAGTGGGTTAAAATCATTAATTTCAAAATATGTTATTAACGGGAACAAATCAGCAGTCAATATAAGGTAATCGACAACACTAGAATCTTTACAGGTAGTTCTCCCTATATACTTATCACAAGAAACTCGTCCATTTGCGATAAATAAAGAGCATCGTTTGCACATTTCGATTAGTTTTGACCCATAGTTATTAATACGTCCTTTATCTTGGGTACATCTTGAGAGGGGGATATCATGTTGAACTAATCTCTGGAAAGAAAACATATTGTCGATGATCAAATTGTTTTCAGCAATGTCTAAAATGTCATATAAATTTTCATCGGGTTCAATATAATCTACAACTTTAGAAGTTCTAGAATTAAAATCGCCCACAAGCATGATTTTTTTATTTTCATGTGATAACATAATCAACTCATCCTCAATTTCTGTGAATGCGCTGTCTGAGGAATACTTTGAATTCTCAGGAGGGATATATACACAACCTGTAAGTATATTCTCATTTAGGAGAGACAGGTCTTTAGATATTTCAAGCCACAGAACATATTCAGACTGTGTTTTATGAAAACGTACGTAATTGGATAAGCATTTCTTAAAGATAACAGTTATACCTCCAGATTTACGTTTAAATTTAGTTCTGTATTTTGAAAAGGATACATAACCATTTGGTAGATTCAGTTCATCATATTCATCAATTTTTGTTTCCGCACAAATTAAAACATCATAATTAATGATTAGGTTTTGGAATTCGGGATCAAGTAATTTAGATATTATACCACATACATTTAGGAAGCCAAACTTAAGTTCATTGGACTTATCTGGTCCAAAGTTTGAGGTGTCCGATGTAGTGTCCTATAGGACAGTCTCTCGTTGAGCCGGAGTGTCGTGTTGGGGATCTGATGGGAGGGTGTTAGTCGCGTGTCCT